TCAAAAGCTTGTATTGACAGCTGGGTCAGATGTGTCATCTGTCCTAAGTTATTTCTTCACCTTGTGCCAGCATGGACAAAAAGCTTTCAAATGCTCCATGACAAATGAGACTGTATGATATGATCGAAAGCTCCAGAAAAGCTACTATATGGAACCTGTGATGAGATTTTCTCAACATTATTATTAGCTAGACTTATTTAGAAGTCAAAATAAAAACCAATCCAACATGTTTAGTGATAGTGATAGTAAAGAAAGGCCATTCAAACACTCATCACTAAAGATATCAGCAGAGGAAAATAAAAGACAAACAGAGAGAATAACCAGCCTACACATTGGGCCCTACAGACGGAGGCTGCACGGTGAAGGCTTCGCGTTTATAACAAGACTGATCAGATGTTAATGTTAACGTTACCTGGGCACGTGGTTTGCATTGTAAGGAACTAACACAGCTTTTTTTCCCTCCAGTAGCGTGTTCTCGTTTATCCTCATGGTGCCAACCCAGACACAAACACCAATAGGGCCGATTATAACAATAAACTAAATTCAACCCTTTATGTCCCATTAATATATTCTAAGAGCTGGATACTGAATCACAAGATGGAGACCATTCTTCCCACGGATGTATTAAGGGAAAAAGGCAGACGATTTTTCAATGCCTGTATTGTGGGAACGTTTATTCTATTTATTTTAACCAGTGAATGTCGCCCGCCGGGGTTGCTTCCGCGTTCTGGGGCCCACTGCACATGCGCACTGGGGGGGTTGCAAACTTTCTTCTTCGTCTGTTATTTAATGGCGGTTGGCAAACAGCATTTAGCTGCATTACCGCCACCTTCTAGACTGGAGTGTGGATCAGATCGGCCTACTACTTGTTCCACTTTCGGCTGTTCCCGTTAGGGGGCGCCAGGCCGAACTCTTTCTCTGGCTCCAGCGTTGAAATATCTGCCGTGCACACACAAAGTAAAAATCACATGCAATTACAAACACACCTCTCATCTAGACACACTTTTAATTAGCAGATGGAAATCGCCTCAAGGCGTTTTACAACTGACGCGCCCCTGGATTCCAAGTTAATTGTCACAATAACGATTCAGTAAACATACCCTTATGTTGAACAAAATTTTATCAGAAGGTAATATTTTGAAAAGGTATTTTTCCTGTATGTATAATGTGTGTTATGCGTAGAAGATGCCACACACCCAAAAATAAATGGAAAAAGCACCAAAACATTCACTGAGCATTTATGAATGCCAAATAGTGTTACCAAAGACTAGTCGGGAAAAAAATATATACAGTAAGCCTAAGTAGGAAAATCACAGGTGTTGTTAAAATCATTACAATGGCTTGGTTTTGTTTGGGTCATTACAGTGTGAGCACAATATCAAGACCCTGAGTTTAGCCACTTCTAATTTTATTATGCATATCTACTGGGGCATGTCCAAATATGTGTGTGTGTGTGTGTGTGTGTATATACAGTCTTTGCTTTTTTTCTGTAAAAGTGATAAATTTACCTTGTCATGCTTCTAATGGTCAAATTAAAGAATCTGAGGCATTTACAGGAGAGAACTTTTGTAGAGCTACTTACAGTTCTTAGAGATATTCAGCCGGTGAGGTCATAAGCATACACTTTAACCGCTGCTATGGCTATCAGTGATACTATACTCGTGCTCTTATCACCACATTAGTAGCATGTTTTGTTTTCCCTTTGATCGCATGTTTTAATCAACTGTGTATATGAGGTTTCTGCCTCCTCAGGTTACATTTTTGAATTAGATTCTCAAAGGAGCAAAAAGTGACTTTAATTATTGTTCTTGTTTGTAAAATGCATAAATGACTGATTCAGTTCCTTTACTGGCCTTGGGTGTTTGCTGTAGTAGGATAATCTGTCATCACATTTACAAATGAAGAACATATTTATTGGTACTTTTATTTTATTATTTCAGACTCCGTGTGTATGTACGTGCACATGTGTGTCTGTGGATCTGTTTGGTTGCTTAAATTGCTCTGCCCAGTCCATGCCACAGCTTCACTGGCTCCTGTGGAGTGTTGACCATGTCCATCCAGTGCTGCATCTGAGGGCCTCTGGCATACATGAAGGGCCCTAACACCAGCACTCCCAGTAGGACTGGAGGCTCTGGGAGAAAGATATGACTGTCAGTGTTTCAGATCCTATCTGCAGCAAGCTGTTGCTGCAGTTTGTTTTGCAGCTGAAACCATTGCAACTTTGTAACGAACTGAACATGTGGTGTTGCTGTGATTTATACTGAAAATGATTATTATAAGGCTTTAATAAACTTAATAACTGATAGTTAAATCAGAAACCATGTAATAAATTTGAATGGATATGTTATTGTAAAATGAAGAATGTTTGTTTCATTTTAATGAAAGCAAATTATGAAGCTTCTTGATGCTAACAATGTCTGTGTATTTTTAACTTTAATTGCATTTCAGTGCATTTGCTTTTAATAAAACCCAAATTATAAGTTCCTCTATCATCTGATAATACATCCTGTAAACACACAAAGTTTGATCTTCAAATGCCAGATGATAACAGAGAAAGGGTGAGGCTTTGTTGTCAATCTACAGTAGTGATTTACAGCCTCTTTGGTTTGTGGCCCCTTGAAATCCAACCCCTCTGATCACAGATTATGGCCTGATTGTAAAAGAGATTTTTTTTTCAGCCTAAACAGGTGATAGTATCCAGTACTCTACAAGAAATAAAAGTAAAAAATAAAATCCAGTTTTCAATTACACCTTTTCTTTATCCCTTTAAGTTGAAAACCATTGCCTGGGAATATTACAGCAAACAGTAACACTTCTGGCTGCTTTATTAATTAGATACGGTAATATAAAAGCTTATTGTGGTGTAAATATGAACGTGTGTGAAATATATTGTACATGTGATCTAAAAGTATGCTTTTAGCAAAATTTCCTGCTTGTATTCAAATTTGAAAATTAAAGTTTAGACTAAATTCACTGGATGCTCTTCAGGTAAGTTGGTCACCTGAGCGGACATTGTTTGGCTGCTGCAGTTCAAACTTCAGACAGGCCTCGTCCAGGTGCTGTGAACGGAGTTTAAATGTCATCCTGTGGTTGAAGTATGGGTTCTTTTCACCTTTCACCACACAGCTGCGCTTGAGCTTCACCACCTGAGTGAGTATCTGTAAGCTCACCTGGACACACACACCTGGGAAACACAGATATGCTGTCTTACTATGATACCTTCTCAGATTTATGTTGTTTGTATACTGCGCAATTCATGTGAAGACTTCCATAAGTCATGTCCACAAGCCTTTCCTCATCCTGCACCATCTTCTACCTTTGTCTGTGAGCAGTTGTAGGCCTCGAGCCCTCAAAACCACCACAGAGAGGCGCTGCAGAGACGGGCTGTAGCTGAGACATATCTGCACATCACCCAGCTCTGAGCACTGACAGAGATGACAGAATGATTATGAGCTTGTATGACCAGGTTTATGCACACATGCTGGGAGTGTACCTGCATGTTGTCCTCTGGCTCCAGGTCTCTCCAGAGCACCCTGCCGGCCTGGCCCAGCTCCCTCTCCAAAGGAAAAAGCACCCTGCCCACAGCACGGCGTTTACCATCTTGCTCCACACTCAGCACACACACACTCAGGGTGCTGTGAGGCACACACACTCCTGACACCTGTGGAGAACACATACACACAGTAGAGATAGAATCACTGAGTCAGCTGTTCTCTCTGTACTAGACAACTGGATGTAAGCTATAGAAATGTAGCTGACATCACACTTAGATGCAGTTTACTGCTCCGATTTATCACTGGTCGCTCTGTAAGACAAAACACCTCAGCAAACTACCAGCATACGTTACATCTCTGTCTGTTAGAGGCAGAATCAGATGAGTGGACGAGGGGCAAGACAGCTCCTGCAATCTCACTGACCACCACTGAAAGTGGCAGGTTGAACCTCTGTATGACATGACAGTGACACTTATTATTGAAAAGTCAATAAAACAACTACAAAGTGATGCAAAATGACCACACAGAGACACAAATCGACCCCAAACAGATACAACAGAGAGACACATTTTTACACCTTTAGCAAATGTGCTCTCCTTCTTTGAATTTGTGTACCAGCCTACTCTGCCCACTAAACCCACTCCTAAAACTCATTGTGCATGTTCCCCATGCCAACTTGAAAAGCCTGTTTTTAGTTTTTCTGCTCCTACTGTAGCTCCAGGGACAATTTAAATCACACTATGCAAATTCACAACAGTAATTTACAGTTTAGTGGTTGGCTAACATATGTATTACTGTTCATCAGTATCTTGTACTAATTTACATATGCTCAGGTCTCTCTTAAACATGAGATCTTACTAATTAAATATAAAGATCATTGGCTATATAAAGTAACATGTATATGGATGAGAGCAGATATAAGTCCAGCAAACACAACTTTTTGCTGCTTTTTTGTCACTAAGATTATGTACAGTAACTTTTCCTGCTTGTGTGTCTCAGCAGATTTAAAGCTTCTGTAAACTTTCATGTCCTTGCCTGGAAAACAAAGCAGTCGCTGAACTCCGGATCGGGCCCTGTGCCTCGGGCCTTGGTCTGGCGGGGCCGCCGGTCATCTGGGAGAAGCTGGAGCTGCACCAGCGTGACATTGCCGTGGAACTGTGGAGGGAGGTTGGCGAGGCGGAGCAGGGAGACTATGAGCTGTTCACTGCTGTGGCGATACTCCACTGAGAAGCAGAGACGGGTGGCCATGCCAGGAGGGGGGGCTACCACCTCATTCAGAGGGGGAGCAGAGTAGAGACCTGCCAGCACTGTCCCAACAGGGTACCAGCCTGATGGAAGCATGTACATTTACTATACTGTACAATCCTAAGGTACTTTATACCCTAACTATAGTACCTTCTGGAGGGAAATGTTCTATTACTCCACTATTTGTCTGACTGTTGATGTTATTTTATAGATTAAGCTTTTACAGAGTTGACAGACTGTGAAGCTACTCTGGGCTTGTTAATCCCTTCAAAAACAGAGTCATCTTGAATCAACTTGTCAAGTTTCAGATGTCTGTGAGTTGTTAGCAGTTGCACCAAAGAGATGGTTTCACTTGTATAACTAAAGTCACTTGGTTTCAGTTTTAAACTATTCAATAGTTCACAAAAAGCAAAGACTATAGAAATATCCATAGAATGAACACTCTTTTCTCTTTGCTCTCACAACCCATAATATTTGATTTCTGACCCATTGGAGGAGGTTCCACCTTTAGGGTGAGAACCACCTGTAATCTGTACACATACAGTAACTGTTATATAGTCACATAGGCCTTTTTTCTGCAGAACGAGAACCATACTGTGTGCACATTTTACTGTTCTTTAGTATTTTTGCATTATTATATTAGTACAAGAGGTAGAAGCTTCAAATGCTACTTCCAGCACTGATATATGCCTCAGAGTTGTATTGTATGTAAGGACTTGTTTTGAAGTTTGTAGGATTGATCTTTGTTTGTTATTTTCCTTAAAACCAGTGATATGCATGTGATATTTTACTCATGCATATGTTTTCTAATGGTTAGTGTAGGTCACATTAGTGTATTCCTTTTATTGTCAGTAAGTTTCACATTTGAAACTCAAACTAACTATAACCTTCTTGACATGCTGTCAAATAAAAGGCAGTAATGACCTACTCCTTACTGAGAGTGACCCACGATGGGCTAGTATGTCCCTCCGGGCCTCCATCTTCATCTCCTCTGTCTCATCATTGTTAAGATCAACATGGTTTCTGGTCATGAAGCGAGGAGGCAAGGTGAAAGGGATCTCACTGGACCTTTCACACACACACAGAACAATGTTATTAAATACCACCTCTGTAGAATCTCTAATATACTGGCCTCAGCTCAATTGTGATACACTGATTTAATTGCCTTAAGGTGGTTGAGATAGCTGGTGTTTGTATTATTGTATAACCACATATCAGTGCTATTATTATTCAGATCAAGAATAGTACCATCACTTACTCTCCCACTCATTGTTCAAGGGTCTTAAAGTTATTACATGCCCCAAGTGATGACGGTTGCATCTTAGGTTGAAGCTGCAAAAGATTTTATTGTTGCTTTGTCATTTTTTTGGTCCTCTTTTAAAACAGTGATGTTTTTCTTGCTTGTTTGCCATAAAGAAATTTTAATAACTGCCATGTGTTGTCCATGTGTACTCAAACTCAAACTGCCTCAGAGAAGACAAATAAAGTTTTTGAATTGTTTGCTGAGCTTGGCAGTTTATTCTTGACCTCAGAAACAGTAGCCGGTAAAAAAGACCACGTGATACAATCGAAGCTTTAGAGCAATTAAGTAAATGGACCCCGAGTTGAGATATCAACGAATAATTCAAAATTAGCTATGGGATTTTTTTTTCCAGGTCATTAAATTTTAACCGAGACCTTCCTGCAAAGACAGATTTAATATAAACTTTAGGTAATTTTTTTTATATTTTAATATGATTTGGATTTAATTGTCTTTGTAATAACTCTGACCTCTTGCAAAAATCTTTCATCTACAAATCAAACTCTTTCCAGATCTATGTCAAAAACTATTCCAATTTAATATTATTTCAGCTCTATGTGCATGTTTTCAGTAGTATTTTAGTTAGTACTTATTTTCCAGACTCTTATTAATAATACAAATTGTGATGTAGTATTATTATGAGACTACCACTGCAAGTTTTATATGAAATGTGTTTTGTGGTACTGACATGGCCCAGGAGCCCAGAGAGACCGGGATCACTGGAGCGGAGCACACCGGCACTGACGGCACCGTGGAGAGCAGCTCCTGGTATCGTCTCTGGCCTTTCTTCTTCCTCCACAGACAGTACATCATCAGACCGAGCAGCAGCAGCAACAGGAGACCCACAGACAGACCAGCAGCCAACAGCAACACCTGGTCTGAGCAAACAAACAAGAAAAATAAACCCATATACATCTGGCAGGTTTGGGTCTAATCTAACTTTCCGCCTACCTGCCATGGGGGAGTACTTTTCACTTCACCTTGTCTTTTCTTCTTACCAGCTCTCACTCACACAGTGTCTGCTGTGTGTAGAGTTTATTGTACGTGACCCTGGGGAACAGAGAGAGTACAGCTGGTTGATTCTCATGTCGTGACGTTATCTGGCTTGTTGGTTGGAGACTGCACTCATAATCCCCTAAAAAGCCATACCACTGATCACACACATTACAGATAGTCATTTGGAAACTAAGACATTCTGGCAACTACTGGTTTCCATTCATTTCTTCAAAGGGCCGATATCAGTTTTACATGAAGTTCAGTTTTCTAGTCATGAGGAGTAAAGCTCAATCTCTGATGACTGTTGAATAATGTTTTCCATGGTTATGAGATAGTTTTATCAGGTAAAGCCAAGAAAATGACCCTGATAAGAACATCAAACTATTGGTTGAATTATATAAAATATAGGATCCAATATTTTTGGAGATTGATCCAGACTGAAATACTGTATCTCGGCAATTGTGTCTATGTGATGACCATGACATTTAATGTAAATATCCATAGTGTCCAGCAGGTGTATTCTACTGACTTTGGTTATCCTCTGCCCACTTTTCAACTTATTTTATAAAATATCTTGGATTGGCACAAAAACATACAAATATTTAAGGCTCTCAGAATAATTTCAGTGATCAATGACTTCTCACCTAATGCCAAAATGTCAGTTTGTTCAAAATTCCAGTCAAATACCTGCAAAACTAAAGACATTCTCATCAGCCTCTCTGTACTTTGTGTTTAGTGCTAATGATCAAATGCTGATGCACTAAATTAAGATGGTAACTGCTGCCATTGTGAGCATGTTAGCCTGCTGGTGGTAGGTCTGCTGTGTCTAAGTACAGTCCTACAGAACTGGTGACACAGCTGCCAACTTGTTTCATATTCATCTACTGCTTTAAATACTCAAACAATAATAAGCATGTAACTGTGCATACATGTAATATGACTGTCCTGACAAGTGATCTGTTCCTTAACTCATCATTAAAATAATGGTTAACCACTCATCCATCCACTGCTGTTTCACTTACATGCACATACACACTCAGAGACTGTGCAGAGATTGGACAGTAGCTAATGAGATGACAGTTAATCTTCAGAGCTAAAGGCAGAGTATGGCCCTTTCTGACACACACACACACACTGATGAAGAGAAATCCTCATATTCACACTGATGCTAACTTCACATGAGGTCCAATTATGAGAGGAGACAGAGGAGCAGGAAAAGCAGGCTGTGTGTTTTTTAGATGAGGATAGCTGGAAACAGGAAAGATGGTCTTAGGGAGTGATGGGGGAAGAGTGGAAGGAATTAGGGGAGGAGGGAGCGACGCCATGTAGCACCACCTGCTCAGTGACAGGGCAGAGGGCAAAAACAGGACACAAGGTGCAACACTAAAGGTAAGAGGTTGTTTTATTGTATTATGTCTATGAACAGCTATGTATCTTAATGGCATTTATTAGTTCAGTACACAGAGACTATGATAGATTAGGTGTCTACAAGTTAGTTGTGGTTGAACCATCAGGTCAGTGCAGGACACAGGTGGATTAGAAAGTCTGGAATTAGTTTTAAAATGAATACATGCATGTTCTGTGCTACTAAATCAGGCATAAAAAATATTTTTAAAAGACTGAAAGACTTTCCTAACCTGCTTTTAAAATGAATAAATACACAGAAGAATAAAAGTAGGCACAACATGCACACAGACTCTGTTACTTGTCAGTCTTATCACCTCCAGCATCCTTTCTAGTGATCCATCTTTGTCTTGCTTCTTTATCTTCTTTACAAGGAGGCCAAATGCTTTTTAAAATCTGTCTCAGATAATCCACATTTTGTCTTGACAATCAAATAATCTGTGTAATCCCATTAGGTTAATCTGAGAGCTTCTGACTGTGGGCACATGTCTATGCAACGACTGGGCTGAGCATGTGTGTGGACAGTACACTTAGATAAGAGTTAGGTAACATTATCATTACCACTCTCATATCTATTTGTTCAATATGCTGCTAGAGTCAGCACTGTAATCTTAGCGTGCCACTGGGAACACTGGGAAACATAACGCCTGGCTCTGTCCAACTCCTTTAACTCCCGAGCTCATAAGATCAATAATTAACACTTTATATTTTGTTTCTTGATACATACACTAACCAAATGTAAAACCTAAAAACTGCAGGTTATGTGTGGGACTATTACTTGGTCAGAAGCAGTAACCTCTGTTGCATGGCAAGGTCACAGTGACACAGAGACAATAAGCATATTTATCAAAATAATAAAATATTGCTTTAAAGTGACTATAACTGATGTATTAAATGAGTGTTGGACCAACAACGTTACTGTTTTAGTTCACTCTCCTAACACCCCTCTCACCAGAAGCAAGACGTTGTTTCAGTAGAAAAAGCTCTGAAACCCATTGAACCTGCTCAGCATCAAACAGCAGACAGACACAGGTGGCAACTAAATATGTCCCTCAGTAGTTGGTAGAGACCAAAAAGAAAGTGAATATTGCACTTACATTCAACATGTCGACAGAAACATGACTCAAAGTAAATGACAGTGCTGCTCAGCTGCTGCTGCTTATGGGTAGCTGTATGCTAACAAGTTTACCAGAGGTTATGATAGTGTGTTCACAAGTTGTTTGCACTGCCCTAAGTGCCCAAAAGCTCAGCCATTGCAGGTTTAGAGATGAAAATTAATTCAACAGTCCACAATGTGCCCTTCTTGGCAGATTGATGCTGTTGCCATGGCAAGGCCTGGGCGCCCAGCATCTGAGAGCTGCAAGCCAGCCTGTTGTTCCGTCAGTCAGTCGGCCTCTTACTCCAGTGAGGCTGGGATTGTGGGACTGGATGATCGGGCCCCCATTTTCTCTCTCTCTAAGAGCTCCATGGATGTTGTCATGGTAACAGGACCAATGCACAAGCAGGATGAAGCCTGGACCAGGACAGACCTGAGACGCAGTTTCAGCACCAGCACACACTCTGAGCAGAACTCAGTGAAGCCCAAGCAGCCGTATCCTCATGTGTGGCGGCACGCCAATGCCACCAACAACCTTCACAACATGGGCTTGCACAGCCCTCCTTCATGGAGTGAGAGCTGGATAGACAAAATGCAGCGCTGGAGTGGGTGTAGCGGGAGCACACACAGCCGCAGCAGCACCCCAGAGACAGTCGTATGGAGAGTAGGAACCTCACGCCCCTCAAGTCTAACCCAGGACGCCCCTTGCTCTCCTGTGTTGGACTCTCCTATGTCCAAACTAGCCTCTCCTCCAACCATACCCTCCCAGTTCATCTCCCCCCTCCAAACACCTACTTTACCACCTACAGATCTTTTAACTTCTGCCTCGCCACTGACACTGAGCAGAAATAAACAAGACTTACTTATGTCCTCACCTGTCCCCTCACCACTGCCATCATCCCTGCAGGCTCACACCTCCTCACCCTTAACACCCAGCTCCCCCGTTCACCTCCAGCTCACCAGGACAGAGGATGAGCGCTTCCTAGAGAATAATTTATTTACTTTTCAATTCCTTTCCCCAACCCCATCTTCTGCTAGCTTAGCAGAAGCAGGTACATCAGGTCCTGACTGCCTTGTTGACAATCTGATAGAAGAACTACACAGTCCTGGGGACATGCAGTTATCGGAGAGTGGAGGAATGAGAAGCCCAGAGCAGAGATTTACTTACATGATGTCTAATTCTTCAGCAGAAGGACAAGAATCAGGGACAGGAGTCTCAGTCTGCCATCTCGAACTGCCATGGCAGCCAGGGCAAAGCTGTCCAGCAGGCCGAGGTCGGAGGTCACCCATGGTTTCCTCCTGGAGCGACTCACAGTTGAGTGACTCCTGCAGGTGCAGCTTGAACAGCAGAGAGGGCACTGCACAGGCTCCAAAGGCTGAGGTGTTCAAAGAGGAAGGCACAATGACTTCACAGCTGGAGACAGCTGATGCAGCTGTACAGACTATGTCTCCTGTCAGCTCCTGGTGCAATCTAAGGAAGAACATGTCCACCTCCAACATGGACTCCCACTCCATCTTTGGGTCACCACCTGGATTTAGAATGAACCACAAGTCCTCAGTAGGGTCTAACTCTAATCTGGCGTTCTCATTTTCCAGTGTGTTCCCAGTGAGCAGTGGGGAGGAGGAAGAGAGACAGGGAGATGACCCACCATGTGATGTTAACTCTGTCTCCTCCCACAATCTGGAGAGGAAGAGGTCGTGCTTGAAGATCCAGGGGGAGGAGAGGGATGAGCTGGAGAGGAGGAGCAGCATAAAGCAGATGCAGTGGGTCAAGGACAGCAGGGCGTGTGAGGCTCATGGTGCATCTGTGGACCCAGAGGTGCTTAGTATGGCCATACGGAAACATCTGGGACTCCAGAACAGCCCCCTACCACAGAGACGTACCTCCAAAAAGAAGAAAGCACCAAAGCCTCCTCTTATATCAAATGTAGTAAAGGTTGCGGCCCCAGAACTGAAACCACCAGTAATGATTTCTACATCACTGGCGGAGGGTAGGAGTGAGGGGCCAGCAGAGGCAGGTGGAGGGATGGAGGAAGAAAAGCCAGGAGGAGGCAAAAAGGAGGAAACAGTAAAAGCTGCTCATAGAACAAGCAAAGTAGAGGGCCATAATGTAAAACAAGAAGAAGAGGAGGGGGTGTATGTAGAGGAGGCTGCCAGTCACCCTAAGTCCCCCTCACATGGGAGTGGACATGAAAAGAAAAGTGTGATCAGGTCACTGAGGAGGCCTGGGTGGTGTGGAGGCTCCAGAAAGACTGATGACTGATCCTGGAAAATAATCTAACCTAAATATATTGATTATCTACCGAAGAGGATTGGGGACACTGCATAAAATTTATTTGAATTCTGACTTTAAACTCAGAATAAAAAAAAAAAAAAGTGCAGTGGCCCTAATCCTCTTCCATAATTATCCATAGCTGATACTACTAATAAACTAAGGCATTAGTAATAGTAATAATAATGATAATAATAATACTTTATTTGTATAGCACTTTACAACTCCAGAGGAGCCCAGAGCGCTTCACAGAAAAACATATATTAGGAATATAAAACCAGCTACATAAACAATAAAAACAAGAACAAAATAAAACAATACAATATAATATCAAAAGCTAATGGGAGACTTCCATATCAAAGTATAAATATAAAACAACAAACTAAAAGACATCGACATGATGCCACTGGAGCCCGTTAGACACAGAAAGCCTGTCTAAAGAGATGAGTTTTTAGTTTTGACTTAAAAGACGATAGCTCAGTTATGGACCATAACTGAACATGTTTCACCAAGACACGACTGCCTGCTGAGGGTTTCCTGACTGAAACATGTCCTGATTAGAGCTGACAAACCAAGAACAACAAGAGAATCACTCGCACTCAGATATCTACATACGAGGTAACTCAGCTCAAATATGTTGTTTGTGAATAAACTGTAACTTAAAAACACACAACTAAGCTACTTCACACTCTCCCTCTTCCCACACTCACTCAACTCGTTCACAGCAAAACACATAAAATCAGTTTGTACTGTAAACCTGTTGAACCGCGGCGGCGAAGTGTGGCCATTCAGGCGCTGCTGTTGACATGAGCGGACACATTCTCTCTCATTCACCACGATAAAAATGCTCAACTCACCAGTGGCTTCCACTGAAGTTATTGTCATCATATTTTCACAGTTGTGTGTTTGTGTGTGGTAAGGCAGGAGAACCCTGTCATCTATTTATTTCTGGTCTTAAATAGTTGATTCACACAAACGACAGAAAATATTTATTTGATCATGTTTTTGATTGGAACTATGATTTCTATAGAGAATGGCTCTACAGTCGGCTGTTCACTGCATCACAAACATATGGTACAAAACCCCTTTAAAGAGTAATACAAGTATGTTTCTATCTATCTATTTATTTATTTATAGTATGAACCAACTATAGCCCTACTGATATCTGGCCAATACCAATAAAATGGGATAGTATATTGGCTAAATATATTATAAAAACACTTTTGATAGGGATAGTCCAACAGAAAAATGTGGTGAATGCAACAGCTTAGTTGAAAAACAAGACTACAAACAGCATTAGAACATCAGCCACAGTAACGCTAAAACGCTGATGTTTAGCAGGTATTATGTTTACCATCTTAGTTCAGCATATTGTCATTCTAATATTTGTTGCACAAATGACAGATTTTGGCAGTGAAGTCATCAGGCCTGCAGATATTTGTTGTAAAAGTAATGAACAAACTAAAAGATGGATCTGATGATGACAGTGGGGAAAAGTCAGCACATCACCAAAGCAGTGCTGCAGTCGAATCACAAAACCTCAAGGCTTAAGTCCCCAGTGTTCGAGTCCGAGTCAAGTCCCTGTGACCTGAGTGTGAGTCAACAAGGTCTACACTCATTCACCTCTGCCTACTCTGTACTGTTGACTGGATATGAATATGTAAGTGAACAAGTCCTCTTTAGGCAGGTAACATCTATTCTACTGAGTCATGTTTACACAGAGCAAACCATACAGGTGATTTGGGATATAAAAGATAAAGGTTGTTTTCAGGTCACTATGTCACCGCTGGAAGTCATGTGACATGATGTGATGTGTGTACAGTGCTGTATTGCCTTTTTCCTGTGTGCTGGTTAGTGTACTGTGAGTGTGTGAAAGTGCTGATGGGCCTCCCTGCAATCCCCTTTTTCTCAGCTGCAGTGGAAACTCATAGCTGCAGGAGAACAGTCCAGCGTTGGGCCTTTGTTGTGACAGCACTCATTGTCCCTGGAGTCATGCTGCTGGTGTATGTGTGGGTGTGTACTGTACAGTATGTGTACATGTGTATGTACATCTGCCTGCTGCCTGGTATAAATAGCGTGGTGTGTGCATGTGCTGGTGATTCTGTGGAAGAAGATGGCTGTACCTGGACCTCCTCTGCTCCTTCTGTCTCTGCTGCTGCTGTTGGGGAAGGCATCCCTGCCTGCAGCTGCATACACGATCGCCACCAGACCTCAGCAACAACACAAAATCCTCCAGCTGGGTGAGAGAACCAAAATATAAACCTCCAAAAACTTCAGCAATGAACATAAAATTGATAATACTTTAAAAAAAATTCAATGTCTTTTCTCTGTATTTCTGTGTGGTGTGTCTCTCCTCCCAGACTGGCCTGTGGACTGTGGTATGGCCCATTTCAAACCCAACATGGCAGAGAGGATTGTATCCGGGAATGAGGCCAGACCTCACTCCTGGCCCTGGCAGGTCTCTTTGCAGGTGAACCTATTTTTCTGGTTCAGTATTCAAGGTATCTGGAGGTCTTCAGTTAAGGACATCAAATGACTGCAATATGATCTGCAATATGCCGCTACCCGAAAATAAATCCACCATAGGCTCTGTTCTTTAATGCTTGATGAGTATCTGTGGATCATTATTAGTTTATTGTAAACTAATTAATAAATCTGTCCCTTGACTGGATAAATGTAATGCAGTCATTTTTCTTAGCTGCTGTTTTTCTTAATATTCAAGCACCAGTTTTAACCCCTAACTAATGGACAAATAAATATTAGTTTATTAAAATATATGTAGCATTTCTATTATTTGTCTGCTCCCAAGGTAGAAAAGCACATGAAACTGATTGTGTGTGTGATATTTATGGGGTAATGTGGCTGTGTTTATAGGCGACTTTAAACCTCTGAGATGGCCACTAAAATAATCTTGTCTGGTTGTGCACCACAGGTTCGTCCCAGGGGAAGTAAGCAATACATTCATGTCTGTGGAGGAACTCTCATCCACAAGAACTGGGTCCTTACTGCTGCTCACTGCTTCCAAAAGTAAGAAATTGTCCATTGAAGCAGAAACATAAAGTAGTAAATTTAGCTGTAGTTTGATGTTTAAATGACACCACATAGATCTTAGTCCACGCATTTCTTTGGGTCTAAAGGGGTAAAGCTGAGGATGCTGGGAGCTGGAGGATTGTCCTGGGGAAGCACCAGCTGAAGCGTTCAGAGACAGCAGAAAGGATTATCCCAGTGAAGAGAATCTACCGGCACGAGAACTTCCGTTACCCTGCTCACAGTGAGCTGGACTATGACATCGCCCTGGTGAAGGCCGCCACAGACATCCTCCCTTCAAACTTCATTCGGTACGCCTGCCTGCCACACAAGCAGACCAGGCTCAAACCGGGACACTACTGCTGGGTGACGGGCTGGGGAGACACCCGGGGTGAGCTGGAGGAGGTACACAGAAAGAAATAATGGGGGGTGGCTTTCAGGGTTCATAGATTTAGAAAAATCAAATGTTCAATTAATACAAATTGAGATTTCTCAAACTCAATTGGTGGAATAAAAAGTGAAGTCAAATGTAATGTTTCTCAGACTCGAGATTAAAATTGACTGAAACGACCTTCTGCGAATATGAACCTGTAGAATTAAACCAAAAATTCAAAATGATCACTTAAAAAATAAAATGTCTCAAAGCAATCAATTCAGAAGTGTTGAAATTTTAATATTAGTAGTCAGTGGTGGTTACATTTCACCATTAAGTTTTCAACATCTTTAACATGTAATTATGACCCTTATTTGTTTCCATAATCCTGATAGAGGGTACAACGATCAGCATCTTTGTTTGGTGTTAGCATGCTAACATTGAGTAATTAGAACTTAACACAAAGAACTAGTTAATGGAATGTCTTTTTTTTTTTTTTTTAACCGCTTAGTCCCTGAACGGGGGGAAGAAGAAAAGTCATTAGGACTCAGTCTGCACCATAAATGTCTCTAACACTGCACTGCAATTTGTCAAGTAGGCAGCAGACTGACATTACCGTGCTGTTTATCTGGCTAAACAGCCGAAAAGAAGTAGAAATCCAAATGCGGTTTAAATTGCTGAAAGGTTATCAAATGCATTTCAGGTGGGAAGGAGAACGTGTCTCTGGCAGAAGCCCTGAATCAAGCTCGTCTGCCCATCATTGACTTCATGACCTGTCGGCAGAAAAAATTCTGGGGTGAACGTGTCCGAGACTCCATGATCTGTGCCGGGTTCAGAGACACCGAGGACCCACCTGCTGCATGTCAAGTAGGACCAAGATTCACCATGTAGGAGGTACAGTCATGTTACATGTACCCACACCTCATTCCCACCCTTCTCTCTCTTCCTGTCTCTTGCAGGGTGACTCTGGCGGTCCTCTGCTATGCCAGCTGGGGCGGGACCGCTGGGAGGTGCACGGTGTGGTGAGCTTTGGCCCCATCGGCTGCACCATGGAAAACAAACCAAGTGTGTTCACTCGCACTGCCACCTACATCCCCTGGATCGAAGCAACACGCATCAGGGACTTCTTCCTGCACTGAGCCGGCCACCTGACTCAGCTGACAACAAATACAAGCTCTGCTCAAGTCCATGTCAGGCTGATGACTCCAAACTGTTCTTTTTGTCAGCCGCAGTTTTTGTTTCACAATTTCTGAAACTTACACAACCACTTGAAAATGTAAATACGTGTTCTGTTCAATTACTGTTTTATAATGCACCATATTTTACAGTATACACTATGTACTGTCCTGATTTTGAACAATAAAGTTGTGACAGAGTACTGCATAGCACACACTACTCATGACCTTGTACATAATCTACTTTGTGCAATAAAGGTAGTCAAAAGCACAATTTTTGTGAACATTTCCAATTTTTTTTAATATGAACTTCAACACAGCGGGTTTGATGGTGACACATGTCCTGTACAACTTTACAATGATTCCTTCTTGCATAATAAAACAAACCCACTGCAGATACACTTCAGTAAGTACAAGAGTAGAACTGACCGTAAGGCTTTGTTCTGTTTGCAGGTCTTAGTGGAAAACCTCTTTGCTCTTCTAAAACAGAAGAGTCTTTCAATCCAAAATAAGAGCATGAATCCACTGCCAATCACCTGGTGAACACACACCAGATGCCACAAGTCATCTCACCAATTAATTTAATTAACCCCAATGTCGTGGGTCTTTTGATTTCAAAACTAGTGTCAGTGAAGCTCATAAGTCTTCGATCAACAATATAACAAATGTCACACCTCTATGTAACATCCTCCCAGGGTGTTCTCATTTCTGATCAAATCAATAACAGGAATACTTCAGAGGATAATAAACAAGTGACGTGAAGGGTTCGCATTTGGTTTGTTTGTGGAATTTAGTCCAATGGAATAAACCAAATCTTTTAATTTACAAAATGCTCCTGGGAAGGAAAGTGGGTAACCGGAGGAAACTGGGGCCGCCTCGCACATACTTGGAGAGCACACTGCATTTGACCAGAGCCTAACTTCTCTTAGTGCTGTGGTTAAAGGCTGTGTCCTCAAGATACACTGGGCCCTAATGTCGAAACAGATGTCTGGAAGAAACATTAGTATAGCCTGGAGGATGATGAGGAGGAGCCAGTGAGGTGGTTCCAGTTGTTGTAGAGAGCATAGGCACCAGACAAAGCTAAACCAACCAGACCCCCACGGGCTGCACCCTTTAATCCACCTGGGAAAACACAGCAGTAACAGAATGAGTGATAAAGCTGTGGACAAACTTACAATAAACATAAATATATACTAGTGTTTAACCCAAGCATTATGAACACATCTGACAAACAATACCGTAAGCAAAAAACAATCCTGTGCATAATTTGCTTGTGCTACTGCAGATACATCCACCACAAACAACATTAGAAATACACATGTATATCTTTAAATATAAACCTCTTTATTTGACATTGTGTTGCTGCAATGCTTAGACTGTCGGTTGAAAAAAGGGGCAATTATAAGATGAGTTCTGGGTAAGCTCATCATTCTTTTGGATGAGAAGTTGTGAACCATAATATTTCAACAGGAGAAATAATGAATTTCAAAGTCCAGCTGTTTTCCCCCAGTTAATGCATATGCAAACAGTTGACTCAAAAACTGGTAGAGAATAGATTAAAAGCAGATCTACAAGCAGGAAAAACACATACCTCCTGATTTAAAGAGCATCCCAGTTAATGTCCCAGCAGCCACTGTGTTGAGGTCATCTTCTGCTCCTCTGGCCTTCTCTATCGCCACACCAAAAGCACTATACAACAAGGCTGCAATGGCCAAGAAAATTCACAATGCTTTAGAAGACACCAAAAACAGCTCTTACACGGGTCAAGTTAAACATTCAACATAGGGAAACCTAAAAATTAACATACCTGCCATCAAGCACAATAAAGGTAACACTAGCTTACATATTTCACTATGGTTTTAAAAATTATATAAATATTACAAAATATTGTAAAAAACGAGATTATAATATGGTTATTACCATTATGAGTCTACTTTTTTTCTGACTTACCAACAGAGCCCAGAGAGTTGGCCCATGAAGCACCCTGTCTGGTCACCATATTAATAATCCTGGAAAAAGGCAGCAAAGAGTTAAAGGACACGTTAGGTTAGGTTCCACATGTAATACTACTAGTGAAATAATCCTGTTTCCATACTCACTGTACATTACGAGGTTTGGACCATGCCATGTCTCTGGTCTCCTTCAGGCCCATTCTGAGACCATTTAGAGCTCCGAGTGTTGCTCCTAAGACAAAACAAAGTGACAGAAACTCTGAGTGGCATATTAACTTTAACCTAGTATGGGGGAAAATAGCAGTGGAAGCAAAAAACAAAAACAAAAAGATCCAGCTAACCATATTTCAGTTTGGTTTACTCGGGGTATACTACATGAGCAAAAATATGTGGACATGCTGAACCCATGTCATGTACATTTCATTATAAAAGCACCAAATCCTCATTTTGAAAAAGCAGAAGCAGAATTTGATTCAAACGTTTGATTATAAAAATTGGTCCCGATTAGTTTTCTGTCCTTAGACAAACAGCTGTTACAGGTGTTGATGTTCTCTTACCCGTCATGCAGGAGGCTCCGATAGTGAAGAAAGCCAATTCAAACCTCCCTCTTGTTTTATTAGCGCCTGTGGGTAGAATGAATTCATCTGTGTCCTAGAATGCAACATTAAAAACTGTTACTCGTTTAAAAAACACACACACAAAGCATTCATTTAAACCACCGAAAAAGACTAAAGCTTTGCTTTAGCTTTAGGTTGGATTACCTGAATCAGGTAACGAGGGTCAACATTGAGGTAAGGGGACAGAGGACTCATTCCAGTCACTGAAATGACACCATAACAGAAATATAGGTTAAGCTCTTTCACAAAGCTTGAGTACAATAGAGAAAGTTGTATTAGAGACATTTGGAGGCCACAAGGTTGGCTGATAGTAACGCTGTTTCCGGTAGCTTCTAAGCTAACTGAAGCAATGTGACAGCAGTATATACAGTAGCTAGCATTATAGCAAGATTCCATCACACTTACATGGGACACCAGCAAGCTCTGTGTTGGAGTATTCAGGTGCACCGACTCCAAAGATTCCCCCGAGACCTGCCTTGAACCCCCCTGATCCTTGTGAGTTGTTATCCATGCTTACAAAGATTCGAAGGGTTACCTGGGGAAAAGACCGGCGGAACTACTAGCCGAGCCTACCTGGCTGACGTTAGCAAGCGCTAGCTGTGTCCAAACACTCAAAATTCACGATACCCTAATCAACAAGGAGTCGCTGAATTCATCGTCACTAAAATACAATGTCCTAGTAGTGCACGTGTTGAATCCTAAGTAAACCTTTCAAGTAAAAATGCCAGATTTTAATTAAAGACTGCTGAGCTCGACTTTTCACCATTCCCCTGACCTCCAGCAGCACGCTCTGCCGTAAAGCGAAAACCGACGTCGGGGTGTCGATACGTCAACAAAACAGATTGCGAAATGTGTGGAAAAAAATAAAAACATGGTCATAAACATCGATTTAATCAAGTGTTTTCTAGACCATAGCGTATTTAAAGTTGATAAATAAAGAAATCATACATGTTTTAGTAACGTTAGTAAACACCTCGATTTACGACACCTCCACAGATCTGGAATCTGTTTACTTACCTCAAGAATAAATGGGAGAAAGTAGCGATAACATTACAAAACCGATTACAGACGTGGTCGTGTTTGATGAAACGTTTCACATAAACTTCACAAAAAAAATTTTAAATTACAACATATTTATTGTAAGAAAATCTACATAATCTAGTGTCTGAAGTAAAAGTAGGCTAGATAGCCTACTAATCTTTGAAAGATTCCAAGATGTAAGTCTACATCTATTTATTGCTGCAACTAACGATTATTTTCATTATTTAATAAACATTTTTGTGTATAAAATGTCAGAATATTTTACAAAACTCAGATGCAATTACATAAAAGAGAGAAATAAGGCACCCTGGTCACTTAAGGGTTAAGACACCAAATATTTACAGGATCAGATCCAGGCCATGGAGGACATTTGTTACTTGTCTCTGTCTCCTTCGTATTTATGTTATCTCTCTTCTATCTGTGATAAAGGCACAGCAATACCTTCAAAATACTTTAACACTGAAAAACATACAAATACTGACATCCAAGCAGTTGGTACTACATGCAAATGTTCGCCATTTTCTGCATTAAATTCTCCTTTGGTCAACTAATTTATTTAGCTCTACTGTTGCCAAATACTTACTGTTTACTGCTGGTCACCTGTTGCTGTTTATTGTAATTCTTTATAAAGAAAAATGGTGATGTTTTTCACATTGGACACAAGGAGGCAGCAGAAAGCTGACACTGACAGGTTCTAAAAGGGTCAAACCTGTTGGTTCTGGTACTCCTCAGCAGTCATTCTAATTAGGCCTGATTTAATTGACTGATTCAGTTGAACTTCTTCCCAGTCACAACAGATGCATGTTGGACTTGCATTTTGTGTTGTTTTTATTACATGAAGTAGAAAGGTAGAACTGAGTTAAATAACTTCCATATAACACATGCAAGGCCTTGAAATGCATGATTTCCCACCTTTCATGCATGCTGGGCACTTACCCATGATGCTACAGGGAGAGAAGACCACACACACGCACACGTACACGCACTATATGCAGCTCAGTCCCAGCCATCTGCTGCCAGTCAAAGAGACAGAGCTGCTGAAGGAATTCAGTGTGTTGAATTTCACGAATAACAGAGCATCTTATTTGGATTCTGCCATTGTATGTGTGTATTCAGAAGGGGCCAAGTGGAGCGATGAAGTTTGCCATTGTTGCCCAGTGTGGGTGTTTTCAGACTCTCTGGCATGATCTGTGAGTTAGTGTTCTCTGTGTTACTGCCCAGTGTGCCCACTGTCTTTCCCACAATGCCCCATTCAGCCCTGGGCCTCTCTCCCTCTCTCTTCCACTCTCTCTCAGACTACCCTGCCACCCATTTTGTGCCTCTGGCTAATCATCATCATCATCATCGCTGAGCTACAACCCAAATTTTCAGCTGTGGGATAAAATAGCTGTGATGTCATCTTTGTTATCTTTTTCAGGAACTCTTGTTTTCATCTTCTCCTTTCCCTCCTCTCTCTCTCACTCTCTCTTTCTTTCTGTCTCTCTGAGAAACACAAAAGACAGAGAGGCCACGATAGGACCCCAGTGTATGCTGGTTGTCAAGGAGACAAGGAGACAGTGTTGGGTCTTTAAACTGCCTCAGAGGGGTGTGTGGAGTTAGGGGGAGTCGGCCTTATTTACATGGGAAGAGGACAAGGGAGCGAGGGGTTTGAAATACAACTTTCGAGCAGTTTCCCTGCAGCTTATAGGACCCCACTGTTATTCAGCTAAAATCATTCCACTGCTTCTCAGTCATCAAATATTTACCAAGCAGAGGGAATCTGGAGCTGTTCATTATGTGGAGAACACCGTGCATACATAGCAATCTAAATCAACTTGTCTTTTCCTCTCACTTTCACTCTTTTTCTCCCACACACATATACACATGAACACACTTAGACTGTAAACACAGAGAACTCTGAGCTCTAGCGCTGGCAATGGTGAGAGCTGATTGCAGAATACATTACCAGATGCTTGAAAAGTGTTTCATACCAGACTAGAACAAGAAAGCAAGAAGAGTGAAAAAAAAGCACAAAACTTGACTGAAAACAGGAAAAACAGAGATATGAGTACACACCCATTCAAACACTCATGCACCCCCACCCGTTTTTATCCACACATTCTCTCTTGTCTCTTTTATTTTCTGTCTCTTGGTATCTCCACCCAGTGCTTCTTCCTGTCCAGAGGATTGTCAACAGCGGTCACATTTTGTCCTTTCTCTGTCTGCGACCAGGGGGTCAGAGTTGCGGCCACAGAACAGGCTCAACTCCAAGCCTGAAGTTCAGTATCACCCTGCAACTCCACAATGAAAGCAGGAAGGGCAGAGAGAGGACGAATGAGCCACCCACTGCTACATTCACCACAGAAAACCCCACATAATTCTCTTTTTTGTGTTAAACTTTAAATGTGTGATTTAAAGAGAGGTTTTACTTTTAACTTCAAGTCTCAAAAGCTCAAATGGGCCAAATTATCTACAGATATCTTTTAAAAAAAAAAACCTCTTTATGTTTAAATGTTAAAGCATGCATCCTTTTGTGGTGGGGTGGGGGTGGGGGGAAGTCTAATTAAAATAAATGTAGCTACCATGACATGTTTTCAGGGACTTCAGGGACAGACTGATCCTGTGTAATATGTACTCTGCAGATGTTTGAGGGCGAGCTTGCACAATCAATTTCCCCTCAATTCCCCAGCCATTAGTCCTCCAAACCTGAAACTCCCCCCTTCTTTCTGTTATACATGTGCATGCCTGAGAGAAACCATGGTGAGCTGGGTGTGTTTTCTTCTCTTATTACACACATCGACGTGTGTAATGTCCTCTTAAATAGCAGGGGAAGATGGAGAACAAGAGAATGAACACAGAAAACGAGAAGTGGAGAGGGAAAAAATGTTGTGGCCTTTTCCCTGCATTTTGTCTGAAGTATCTGCTGGGTTTTTGCCCCCCCAATCTGTATCTAAGGAGTGTTTGGTGATTAGTATGCAGAAAGAAAGCTGATTTGCATAATTAAGTGCTACAGAGAAAAAGCAACAAAGTTTGTTAGTTTTACAACTATGAGTTTAATAGTGTACAAAGAGTTATTCCTGTTCAGAATCCTTTAAAAGTTAAATGTTCATTGTTCAACACATCTTTCTTTATGTTTTTAATTTTTCATAAGGAATCCAAAGCAGAGACAGATATCATTAAAGTGGTTAATAATCACAGAAGTGGTAACAGTTAGTAATCTACACTTGGCACTGAAGAGTAGATTAATAATGTACTACTGTTAATTGTCACACTCATTGTATATAAAAGGCACAGAAGGCAAGCAATGCTGATCTCAAAGGCTCAAGTTAATACAAAGAACATCAGCGACTCCAGTTATTCAAGACATTGAGAATGATTACTAATGACACATGAAGGCTGGTTATACTCATCAAATTAATTCTCCGTAGTAAGGCATATCATTCTTATCTGAAAAGGCCATTTAATGTTATTTTTCACGTACAAAATAGAATATAAAAATACATTATAAACTTGTTACAGATGTTATGACTTCATGTTTTTTTTTTTACGTGAAGGCATCAGTTGGTTTGTCTGTATGTGTAAAACTGTACCACACCATCTGAAAAAGTGGACACACATGCAAACATACTTCATCTCCAACAAAACCATCACCTGAACAGAAAGAGAAAAATAAAATAAAACACTGTGCTCTTGAGGCATCTGAGTCTCACATAAACATATCAGAAGTTGCAGCTGGAGCTTGAGTACCGTAGTGCACTTCCAATTCAAATAAGCCACTTTTTTTTGGCACAAAAACTGGAATTGAGAAAGCCATAAAATCTAGATGATGACAATTAGGCTGTGACAGTTCTCTGCAGTCCTAATTAATCTGCATAAAACCAAATGGCATCATTTCATGCTGGGCACAAACTCACGATATACTAGTAAAAGATGTAGGTGTAACAATGATCCATCGCGTTCGATAAATAAAGGCACTGTTGTTTAAGCTCATACAATACTGTAGTGTGAAAAAGGCAAAGGCATCATTGTGTAAGTTCTTGATATTTAGACAAAAGAAGTGCAACCTTCCCTCTGTGTGTATCTACACTGTACAGGCTTGGCATTTATACTGTCTGTGTCAACATAGTATCTGGCTGGTTTACTTGTTAAGAAAAACCCAGAGATACTTTGGCATTTTAAATTCCAGTTTGTTATTTTTCCTCACTGAGCACCTGCTGCATTATGGTGAAAGGTTCTGCATTTTACTTAACCAAACAATTTTTAAATGTTCTTTGCTAAAACACAGTAAGGACAAATACAAATCACGCTGCCATTTTAAAGGCAAATGCAGCATAAAATAGTGCACTCTTAAAAACAAAACAAAAAACAAGTGACATTTTTAACATCATTGGAACCACAAGTTGGTGTTCCATTTTGAAGCGTGTTAATATATGACATTTTTAAAACCAATTATAATGTGTTACAATGAAATTAATGCATGTCCATAAAAGAAGCTATCCCTTTAAAGATTGTGGGGAAACATTTTCGATGTTAAGTGAGAGGTGATCCTTGAGGAAAAATACCTAAAACATCAACATATCTCTTCTTTAGTTTAGTGTTTCTGTGCTGTATAAGCACCATCATTATCAGTATCATTATTAATAGAGTTATTGTTATTGCATCACAGGAACTGAGGGCAGGATAGCTCAGAGAGAGAGAGTTTAGCTCATCTATGGATTGGTGTAGGAGCCCTTCACCAGTATGGGGCCCATCCCCAGTCAAGTCTACTCACAGGTAGTAGTTGCCAGGAGATGCATGGCAACAACTCCTACAGACTGGGATTCTGACTGTAGGATGGTTGTATAAAAAAATATTTTGAGATTGGCTTTGGAGTTTTGGAAGAAAGGCACGTTTGGTAAAGTTCAGGTTAGGACTTGGCGGCTGAGGTTTATTCCCAGGATCGCTGTCATCTGGTTGGTTGGTTAAACAGAAGCAGCCAGGTTGTTCCCAATGTGCTGGTCTCTGGTTGGCTGAGCTGGGGGAGCGGCAGAGCCGTGGGCCAATGAGTGCACCAGCAGGCAGACATGGGTGGGTCATCAGTGGGCGGAAAGGTCAGAAGGTCAAGGGGTCATGGGTTAGTTGCCGTGGCAGCTAGAGTTAGACGAACAGAGACGGACAGACGTGGAAAGGAAACAAAAAGGGCACAAAAGGGACATAAAAAGAAAAAAGATAGAAGAGAGATTAGTGTCAGCTAGTGGCGTCAGGATGACAACAAGGCAGATCTACTGCAGTCACAGGCATGAGGGGCATTACATAAGAGCAGCACAACACCTCTATGAGCCCTGTACAACCATTCACACAGACCTAACATCAACCACTGGGTGTTGACATAGGGAATGGATGGTTAGCAATACACACGTGCTCATAAAGGTGTTTGCAGGGTTGCATTTTGGGAGACGCCCCTCCTGTCATGTGACTACTGCTATAGTGATACTACTCATGCTAGCTGGGCTACGTCTAGCACAGACAGACAGTGAAACCATGGACAGAGAGGGAGACAGCATGGTTTCATGGTGAGAGAGTGACCTTATGTCCAAAGGAAAAGTGTCTGGGCCTCAGAAATACTTTCACTCACTGACAAGGAGCACTATTGTTTAGCAGCAGGCATAAGATCTCAGTGATTAACGGTTGTGATGAACTGATTATGGTTTGATCTGTTTGCTATGAAGTATTAGAAGAGCACCTAATGACCAGAGTAAGCAAAGAGGCGCCATAGGAGACAGCGATGAGAGGTTAAGAGATGGTGATTTTAGAGGGACAGAGGAAACAATCTAACAATAGACAGACTAACTACAAGAATTTAAGGCTTTGGTTTCCTTTAGAGAATTTTTTCAATAGTCATCTTTATTGCCTTTTAGTGTTTTTTGTCCATTGTGTACAACAAGAGCACAACTGCTCACACACACACACACACATATATTGTAGCTAGCTAGTCCATTTCTATTGCATAAAACAGTCATGAGGCCCGTGAATCGCCAAAGTCACCTCATCTTAAATACACAGAGCAAAACACTGCCTTCATTGCCACCTTCGTGGTGACTAAAACAGTAGTAGCTACATACTTTGAATAAAGTCTGAAGTTTATATAGAGACACTTGATCTATAAAAAGCATACCGTAAAAACAAAAATAAAAATTTACAAACTAATAAACTAAAAAAAAAAAAACTACAAGTATTTCCAAGCGATTTTGTTCCATAAGCTTCATATAAGCACTTCAATCCTTAATATCCCTATATACAAATTTATTTTGCAGCTAAATACATGGTAACAGCACCACTCTGGCTAAGAAATATATGAAAGATGTAAACAGCCCCAGTGATAAAGTCCAGTAGGCGACTGATAAGACCACAAACAACAGTATTTCATACAAAAGAGCTTGTAACACAGACTTCAGTAGTTATCACACGCTGTGTTTTAGTAGTAAAAACCAAAGATCATATTGACTTGAATGACCTTCAGAAAAGACAATCACTGTAACCTTAAGTGTCATATAGTCAATGGGCACAACACAGGATATAATTAATAATAAAAAAACACATTTGTGGAACTCTACTGGAATGAATCTGGGTATAAATACAACTTCCCACAGTATTTGTAGGGTCAAAAGTAGTAGTAAAAACATAAACAACAACAAAAAAAAAGTTTCTAAGGGAACGCTCCAAATCCCAAATCACATGAACAGAGCGATCCATTCTAATTGAGAGGGTGTCGGCCTGCGAGCCGTCCAGTTTATCTAACAGGCGAGCAGAGATAACCGCTGCAGCATTCACCTCCTCCCACTGCTCACTTAGTTCACTTTCACTGTAACAAATACTGTTTCACATTTTGCACTGAAGCTGCTTCAGCATGTGACCTCTGCGTCTGATACAGTTATCTCTTTTTTTAGTCACGCCATATTACAGACACATGTAAACTGAAATTGGTCCATTGGTCTGCACGCATGCTCACTAACACACACAAACACACACACATAAAGTGGCTGGTGAGCTAACTAACCTCTGTCTGTGGTCACTACCCTTTGGTAAGGATGGATTCTCTTGTCGTGGCGTCGTACCTTAGTGGTCATGGCACCTGCTAACAGCCATTGATATCGCCAAAACAGAACACAGAAGGTTACTCATCAAAAAGACATCAAACAGTCCACCCATGGCACCAACATCAGTGAAATCAGGAATTTACAAAGGGTTCAAGGCTGAGGGTGAAAATATGTCAAAGCATCTTGCTTCCAAGAGACAGAATTGGCTTGTTGTTTTGTGGTCTTCTGTTCTCTAAAGAAAATATTAATCCAAGCCACTAATTTCTCACTAAGCTTCACTAGTAGATTCAACATCAGCTGTAAGCAAAGTCACTCTATAGCTCTGTGATCAAATTAAGGTTTATATTAACTCACAAACAGCGACGGTGATATCTATGTCTATGGGTTCACTAAAATGTGTTAAAATTACAAGCGGAAGCTGAACTATTAATAAAGTTAAGTTGCTGTCACACCACAACACTAGTCTGCTAATACAAAGAGGCAATTAACAGGAATGGACACTTGACTACAGAATGACTGTTGAGGAAAGTATGAGCAAACTTTGACTGTTTGCTTTGTGGGACAAGTATGTAGGGGTGGAGGTCTCTGCAAGCCAGTCCGTGTGTGTGCTAGGAAGGGTTGCTATCGCTTAGCCTTTGGTTGGGAAAGCCATACCTGCGAAAACACAGGGAGAGGGGACTGTTAGCCCAGCAATGAGCATCAGCATGCACCTGTGTATATTGTGGATGTATTGCAAGAGCTGGATATGACTGCCAATTTTTCCCAGTTGCAAACTGCAGTACTGCAACAAAACCCTGTGGCCTTGAGTTCTGCTATCGGTGTCTGGGTGTTGGGGTCAGGTTCAGGTGAATTAGATTTTTAAAAAATAAGATTTAAAGATTAAAGTTAAGCTATTGGAAACAGTAGTTTGGCAAAAAAATTGCAGAAGACATCATGAAACTGTTACGTGGTGACAACAGTGCAATCGCCATGTACTGTATGGAAGAGGGTTAGGGCCACTGTAAAAAAATGTAGTGGAGTTCTGATTTTGTCTCACAATTCTAATTTTAATTCTGAGTTTAAAGTCAGAATTCTGAGAAACAAGTCAGAAGTCAAATACATTTTTAACATTGGCCCTAACCCTCTTCTGTACATCTTCAGTTGAAATTGAGGTGGACCTCAGAATGTTTTGTCAAACAAAGGTAATTTATCAAGAAATTTTCTTCTTCCTTTCTCTGACTGAGTTGACCATCTACTAGCAAGGTGATACAGGATGCAATGCCCAGTCAGAGGAAGGTCAGTGCGTTGCCTCATCTGGGTCTCTGGTTGGGTTTGCATTTCTGATTTCGCATTAAATCAGGTTAGAGTTTAAAGCCACCAGTATAAACTTCTCCAGGGCATAGAAAAGCTTAGGGGA